TTTGTATTGTTTATGAGTGATAAATTTAAATTTTTATTGGAGAAAAAATTTAAAAATTGTTTTTAAAAATTTTTTTAAAAAAGTAAATAAGAAGTGAGTAAAAAGAAAATTTATAAAAAGCACAAATTTGAAATTCTTCAAAATTTACTATTTAAAACCTTTTTAATATTAAAAAGAAATTAAAAACTTTTTTAGAGATAAATTTAAATTTATGAAACATAAATAGTATCAAAAAGCTGAAGTTCTTACAAGTTTTAATATTAAAAATAAATTAAAAACTTTTTTAGAGAGAAATTTAAATTTATGAAACATAAATAGTATCAAAAAGCTGAAATTCTTACAAGTTTCACAAAACATGCTCTAAAAATGATTAGTGAAATTGAAATTTTATGGAAGATGATGGATTTATTTTCAAAGATTAAAATGTAGATTGAAAGAGTTAAATAAAATTTAAGGTTTAAATACGAAAATGAAATTTTTTAAAGGATTTTTTTTTTTTTGTTTTTTTGGAAATCTTGACCCGGTCAACTTTTAATCAAAGTTAAAAATGGAATAAGTGAACTAAAATATTTAACTAAAAAGAGATAGAAATAACTAATTTCGCTCACCAATTAATGACTTAAATGGAGATTGAAAGGTGATAGAAAAAAATTAATTCATTAGGATAATTAATCAAATTGATTAAAAATTGACTACTTAATTAAATCCTAATTAACTTAATCAAAACCTTGATTAAAACTAATGAGAATAAATTAAAATAAGGAATTTTCTATCTTGTGCCTTAAAGTGATAAAGGTGCAATAAATGCATATTTTTATAATTAATTTATATTAAAAATGATAAAAGTTAATTTCAATTTAATTAATTGATTAATCAAAACTTTACATGGGACAATGACACTAAAATAACAGTTAACTTTTATTATTTTTTATGTAAAGTAATTGTAAAAAAGTATATTTATTGTATATTAACCTGTGCCTTTAAGGTACAGTTTAGACAAACCCTAAAAATAATTAAAGATATACATAAATACATTTTCATAAAAAAATATATATTTAAAAAAACACCATTAGTATTTAATTTATCACATGTCTAACTAAATTTGTCCACTCAACATCAACACTAAAATTAATGTAAACTTTTACATTTTTCTATTTTTCTATATATATTTATGACAAAAAAAGGCGCTTTAACATTAGAAAAACTCAATAATTAATTAAGAGTAATTAATATTAATTAATTTAATTAACCCTTACAAATAAATTAATCAAAAGGAACCCCTTTTTTTTTTAATTGTTGGGTCAAAATTAGTTCGGGCTTCGACCCGTTTTACATTTCTTTATTTCTTTCTTTGCGGCCCAAAACCGAAAACAAACCCAGCGGATCTTAAAAAAAAAGGGGGCGTCATACTGTTTCTAGAACCCGGCGGAGTCCCGGCCAAATTTGCAGTCTTCGGAGATTTCAAGAATTCAAGAAAAATTTCAGAAAATTTCTAAACAAATAGGAAAACAGATTCTAAGCCTAAATCAAGCTCAGCGGAGCTTTTCAACATGATAATTTCACGATTTCAGCTTCTAACAACAACTATACCAATCACCCTTATTATATAACTATTGAAATAGGATTAATAGTCATGATTCTTGATGCTTCTATCATTGTTTCCATTTCCTCTTCACAGTTACAACACATGCTACAAGATTGAATACCTTGGTTGGTTACTTCCTTGCTGTCACTACTGCTTAACATGTGCCAACTTTGCCAACTTTGCATGATCTAGGGAGGATCTCTCTATGGTTCTCTTAGCTCCCTGAGAATTAATACCCTTTGATGCCATTCAAGTAGACTTTAGAAGAAAGGCTTAATTCTCATCAATTAGTAGAAATTTAGAGACTTGGTATATACAGAGGAAGAGAGGTATTTCCGCTTATATCATGGCTGTGTAATCTGTCACATTAATTTTGAGATACTATTATTTTTCATTTATTTTGACAAACATATGATTGCAAGGATCCAAAAGCAGTTTGGTCACGGCATGTATAATCCGATCGCCATTGAAAACTCATCCCCTTCTGCAAAAGTCTCTGTAAATATAATGAGTTTTCTTTCTTTCTATTTTTTGAAAGAATAAAAGAAGAAACAGGAATTTAGAAACGTGTCTTTCCATGCAAAAAAGAGTAAGCTTAAGTTAAATAAGCCTTCTAAAGTATTTGAGGAATATTTTTTAATTATATTTAGGACTGATATATTAGGATCTTAAATCTTAAAAACAAATA